GGTTTAGGGTTTAGGGTTCCAGTGTCCAGGGTTTAGAGTTTGGGGATGTTTAGGGCTTAGTGTCTGGGGCGGAGTATGCATCAAGTGAACGTAGACGCCGCAGCGGATCTGATGGCAGGTGGGATCCGCTGCAGGATGAGATTTGCCTATGCTTGGCTGCTGGCTTGAATATGGGAGTTTCCGAAAATAAGGGCTACCTTTTTGAGGTGCTTATAATAAGGATCCTACTATTTAGGGTGCTATATTAGGGTCCCCTATTTTCGGAAACCCCCATATGTCTCACAGCGCTTCCGGCTGGCTTTGACGGCTGCGATGCCGTGTGCTAACGAATGGAAAATGCTGCCCGCCATCCACTGGAAGTTTCTTCCCAGAACCCAGGATTTTTTTTTCAAGGCAGCCCAGCGGCATGTGCTCTCCACCGTGCTCCAACACCCGACATACCAACAGAATAACATGTCAGATTCTTTGCTTTGCCGTGACTGGAACTTCGGGGTTTCGGAGATGGAATTTCGGAGTCTCTGTGCTTTTCGGAAGGGATGTTGGGCTTTAGGGGTTCGGGTTTACGGGCTGTTTTGAAGGGAACGATGCCTGCGGCTTTTGGTGCTTGCTCTCTCGAGGCGGTCCGCCAAGAATGCACAAGAATCCGTGGATGGGTATCGGTCAACGCAAGTAGGGGGCGCCCTTCTAGCGATCTTTCTTGAGTACATGCTCATCGTCCATAGATGCATCAACAGGTAGCATCGTAATTGTCCGACCTGTCCGCATGTCCGAGAGACAGCGGCTGCTTTGCCGCTGCGACGTTGGATCCAGCGATGAAGAAGCTGGGGGTGAACACGATGATCGTGGCTTGACCGAGTTGACTAGAATGACAGGCAGATGTAGCATATTATACTGTTGACGACTTACTTGGTATCTGTATCTGTGGTTCATAGACAGCATTACTCGTCGGAGTCAGGCCAGCAACTTTCACGGCCTCGCAAAAATCAGTATCCATGCGACTCTCGTTGTCATATCACTCGGCAATTTGATCAGTTTTTTCACATGGTCGAGAGGCGTGACAGGAGCTTCGTCATGGGGTTTGTGAGCAGCGTATGAGCTACATCAGCAATTCTATTGCTACAGCTTCTCATATCAGTACAAGTACAGTTCGATCAAGAGTGCCAACAGCTTCATCATCATCATCATCATCATCATCATCATCACCATCATCATCGGCGGACAACTTTGTAAAGTCACCTGCATGACTTTCAGCAGTTTCTGCGTGTCGGATTGCGAGCTTTCTGTTGATGCTCACTGTGTTGTCGCCGTTTGGACTGGTAAGACTGACCTTTTCAGCATTATTGTACACCCAGCATGACTAGCAGACTAGCAGCTAGCACCGCTTATACCGGTTTTTCATGTGGAGTACTCTGAACTTTGCAGCACTGCATTTCAACAATTGCATGAGCCTCTTTTGCAGACGCTGTAGTAGGACCATCCCACGATGCCAGGCTATGCTACGGTGTGCTTCGCACATCATGCTGCACTACAGCACAAGCGTACCATGGTGCAAAAGAGTGTGTCATGTTGTGGTTGCAGCATGGCTTGAGGTCCTGACAGTCCTGACGCCGCGTGTGTCGCCCTCAGAGTTTGCAGACCTCGTCCGGCGGAGCTCGAAAGCAGGTGATCCATAGTTCAGCCTTCCTCACATGGGAGTTTCCGAAAATTGGGGGTACCTTATTTTGGGGTCCTTACAATAAGGATCCTACTATTTAGGGTACTATATTAGGGTTCCCTATTTTCGGAAACCCCCACATCCGGGAAATGTCATTGGTTCTCTGAAACCACAGCCTGAGGCTCTCCAAAGTACTTCATGGCAGTGCGTGCCAATGTGGACAAGTTGATGCAGAGCCTTGCTCTCGTGCTTGGCGGACTTTGTTCAGCTGCAGTTGACAAGTTTGTCGTGTACTTTTTTGGCGAAGCAAGTGGATGTTTCCCAAAGACGGCTGTTAATATTGATGCAAGGTCGGGCAAGTGTGACCTCAATCCAAGGTGGCCCTGACTCCATAACCCTAAACCCTAAACCCTAAACCCTAAACCCTAAACCCTGAACCCTGAACCCTGAACCCTAAACCCTAAACCCTGAACCCTAAACCTATGGCTCAGGATCAAGCAATTGGAAGAGAGTTTCTCAGCTCGCTTCTTCTTCGAGGCGAGATTGACGCTGGTTTAAGCATGTGGCAACATGGGTAGTTCTCTAAATTTGGGTTCCTTTTTTTGGGGTTTAGGGTTTAGGGTTTAGGGCCCAATGTAGTACTAGGGTCCTTTAAGGTCTCCAACATAGTACGGCACCCTTGTAAAAAGGACCCCAATCAAAAGGGACCCTAATTTTGACAACCGCCCATATGGGAGTTTCCAAAGATAAGGGTACTTTAGCTTTAGTTTCGGGGTCCTTATAATAGGGATCCTACTATTTAGCGTACTATATTGGGGTCCCCCTATTCTCGGAACCCCCCCCATATGGAGCAATATAGAAGTGCCGGCTACGTCGTCTCCGTATCTTTCAGGAAAGGTTGCCTTGCCGAGAGATTCTTGCGGAGAACAGCTAGGTTTCCAGCATGCAGCTCCATCGGCACCCTATACTCGAACATAGGTTTCACTTCCAACCGACGCGACGCGAGGTTATCGGCACCCTAAACCCTAAACCCTAAAGTCTTTGGTTTTCTTGTCTTGGCACTTGGCACTCGTCGTGGTCGCATGTCGCGACCGGCAATCTTTGGGACGGACCGACGAAACAACAAGGGCCGCCTGTCGCTGGCGCCAAGCCACAGATTTCTGTAGCATTCCGCGACACCGAAACCTTAAGCCCCAAACCCTAAACCCTAAACCCCAAACCCCAAACCCTAAACCCTAAACCCTAAACCCTAAGCCCGAAACAAAGAGCTCCAAAGTGGAGGGACTTCACCCGAGAGGTGGGAGCCGACAGCTGTTCTCTCAGCCAAGGATCCCTTCCGGGAAGACGCATGCCCCTTGACTGCCAGGGCTGTGCAAGAAATCTATAGAGATTGAGGGGATCTATAGAGATTTATACGGGATCCACTCGGATTTACGAGGCAAGACCATATGAAGAGCTGGCTTTCCAAACCCTTGCCGCTGCGCTCCTGAATGCGTCGCGATCTTGCTTTGTAGCTTTTTGTCAATGTGCATAGCCTGAAAAACCCGACTGCCTGCACCCCAAAGGGGCTTGAAAACCCCTGAACCCTAAACCCCAAAAGCCCCCAAACCCCGGAACCCTAAACCCAAGAAGCCTCCAAACCCCTAAACCCTAAACCCAAAAGCCCCCAAACCCCTGAACCCTAAACCCTGAAAGCCTCCAAACCCCTAAGCCCTAAACACAAACCCTGAAAGCCCCCAAACCCCTAAGCGCTAAACACAAAAGCCCCCAAGCGCCTAAACCCTAAACCCCTCAGGGACGTTAAGGGCTCTAGGGTTCCACGAGCTCACAGATGATGCGAAGGCTTGACTCAACTCGCCCTTTAGTCTCGAAAGCAATGCCCTAAACGTCCTGTGCAGGAAGCGAAGGAGAAGGAGGCCGGCGAAGGGGGGAGCAAGAGAGCTCAACACGGTTTAAGGTTTAGGGTTTTGGCTGAACCACTTCTACTGAAAGATAGACTGACAAGGAATGTTCTGTCAGGCCCCACAGACCGCTGCCTAGTCTTGGGGTCAAGAAAGCTGCATTGTTTTTGATCCGAAGTCGGGAGTTTCTGGGAGACCTGCGATCTGTGAGGTTGCTGCCTTCCCTGAGAATCATCATGTCTTCACGTTTCTGGGATGGTGTACATGGCATCTGGTGCATGCGTAGCATGGGAATCCACAACAATAAATGCTGCACAGAGACCGTGGGTACTACAAGTTTTGTGTCTCCGATTCCATTGTGTGATCAACGTTCATGAGACTTCGTGTGCGCAACCCGTCTTCGCAGGCCAAGAACTGCTTTCAGTTTCTCAAGAAGAAAGTCGAGGGCGAGGTTGCGATACCTGGAGCCAACATCGACGTTCCGAAAGCCAAAACTGAATGCCGCTCGAGATTCACAGTGGAGAACCTTGGCCAAAACAACATAGTATGTATACACACATATATATATATATATACAGAGAGAGAGAGATATGTATATATACATATATAGGTTATAGAGTGTATAATATACAATATATAGTACATAATGTATAAATGACATGCGGACCGAACTGTCGAGCTCCTGAGGCTCGGCGAACTGTCTGTAGGCTGATGGTCTTTACGACAAGGGTAGTTATCTAAGCTAGGGTCCCTTTTTGGGGTTTGGGTTTAGGGTTTAGGATTTTTAGGTAGTTATCTAAATTAGGGTCCTATAAGGTAATCCCAAAAAGGAACTACTATGGGGCCTATTGGTAACTGAATTTTGGGTTCTGTATAGGTAGTTCTCTAAACTAGGGTCCCTTTCTTGGGTCCCCAATGTAGTACGGCACCGTTATAGAAAGGACCCTAAAAGGGACCCTACTTTAGAGAACCACCCAGACAACCTGAACGTCAGCCTGCGCTGTATAGAGTTTGTGGTTTCTGTGCGGCACAAGAGCTTCCTGCCCCGGGTGCAGCATGTTTGTAGCCGGGCAGCGGGTAGAGGTTGGTGTCCCAAAACCTTAAAATGGTCATTTTATATCATAGTGTCATCATTATGGTGGTAATCTACCATAGTATGCTGTCCTCTGAGACTCTCGAATCGCAGGAACTGTCTCGAGGAGCCAACAGACGAATCACCCAAGCCGAAAGTTTGGATGGACCACAAAGACGGCAGCAGCGTGGTCAAGATGTCCTGGGTCGCGTGGCAACATTGCTTGTCTGCATGGTTGTATGTTTGTTGATTGCTATGAATGCCGCAAATGTTGCTCTTATCGTGTTTTTTCAGCACAGTGTCCAGCTGAAGGTCCCTTCTGCCCCGACCCGCTGTTATCGTATTCGCGGATTTCTCATTCGTCACGTTGTTGCTTTTGTAGTGGTTGTCGCCGTCGCCATCGCCGTCGCCATCGCCGCCGTCGTGGCAGTGGCCGTCGCAGTCGTCGTCGGGTGGTGGTCGTGGTCGTGGTCGTGGTCGTGGTCGTGGTCGTGGTCGTGGTCGTGGTGGTGGTGGTGGTGGTGGTGCTATTGTCTTCTTCGTCTTCTTGTTGTCACAGCTGTTATTGTGTGTGCTACTCTGTTGACGATTCGGGCTTGGTTGTCACTCTGATGACTATTTACTATCTTTATCGCTATTGTCAAAAAGCCTGCGATCATGGTTGTTATCGTCAATTGTCATGCCTGTCCAGCATTCAGATGTTGTCATACCATGACTGCGCTTTCCCTGAGCTCTTCTAGCTGTCAGTATCATTAGTCATATAAGGTTTGGTACTTGATGGAGTGTTATTTTAAAAGCATTCTTGTTGTCTTCTCGTTTGATCCAGCACCTGCACGGCTGTGATATCTCCGCATCATTGCAGTAAACGTGCGGTCTGTGTTGTTAGTAGTGTTCATGGCTGCAGTATTTTGAATAGTGCTTCTGTTCTGAGTACAGTTTTGCACAACACCGGTTGTTTTACCACCTGATCATGACTGCCATCGGCCGCAATGCCGCATGTGGTCTTGTAATGCACATGCGATTGGCAGTGTCCCCGTGATAATGATTAGCACTTGTGGTCAGTACTCTGTTCAGGTTTCGTAGTGCCAGTATTTTTGCATCAGATTGCTGTCACTGTGAACATACATAGTGTCTTTTTCTCCCTGGCACGAGATCGACCATGATGGATCGAGGTGATTGCTGGCGAGTTTGCGGAGAAGCTAGAATTGAAAAGCTTTCCCTTCGACTGCCAAGAGCTGTCTGTGACACTCTGCCTAGGTGTGCCACTTGGATTCGAGCTTGGCGCGCACTTTCTTCTGCTCATGGGGTTGAGACGGCTTGGGCTTGATTCCACTTCTTCAGCCCGAATGTCCCGATCAACTGCAAGCGGTCAAGTGCCAGTCCTTTTGCACCGGCATAGAAACAAGCAACAAAGGTGAAGCGAACAGAGGGTGAACGAAGAAGCCCCTTTCGCAGCGGGCGAGCAAATATTCGATAATTACAACACGTTGCAAGCCCCATTTTTTTTGGGACGGATGCTGCACCAATTGCTGCCTGTCGCAATGCGTAGCTGTCCCAAACAAGCAGCAATGCTATAAAGAAGTGTAGCAGCACAGTTGGTTAAAGTCCTTCCTGCTCGAAGGCCCTGAAAGCGGAGAGGTGTGGCTGTTGTCACAGCGGTTTGAATTGTCCCAAGCAATACGACCGTGATAGCAGTAGTAATAATGACAATAATCATGATGTCACTAAGACACAGACTGTCGCTAATAATGATCATCCCTAAACCCCAAAAGCGGCTGATACAGGGGACTCAATAATTGCCAATACTATTCTGTGAGTTCCTCATTAGAATTATAGTATAGTATACCCCAGAACCCTATTCTAAATATTAAGGCCCCTACATGATCGAACCCTTATAGTATCCCTTTTGAGGAACCCTTTAAAGAAACCCTATTCTACTTATTAAGGCCCCTTATTTGAGTCAGATCCGAGGCCCTGTCTCGCCGGAAAGGAGCAGGTGCGCTTTCAGCTTCCAGATAAAGGCCGGCGGCAAAAGTCCAACCACAGCCATCGCCGGTCTAACACCCACTCGGGTTCCTTCCAGGGGCTCCTTGAAGGCTTGCTTGAATCCTAAACCCTAAACCCTAAACCCTAAACCCTACTGTAAGGTAAGGGTTCCTTCAAGGACTGTAAGGGTTCCTTGGGGGGTCCCTTTAAGGGCTTTAGGAATCTTTTCAAAGGGAGGTCTAGCATTGCACTTCGCTGATGTAGCCCTCGGCCCTGCGAGACGAATCCAAAGTGATCTTGAACGTCTTCAGTCTGCAAAACTCCTGGATGCGCCCGGAACGCGTCTTCTTGAAGAGCCCTGGCGGAGCTTGGAGGGTAGCGGGAGGACTCTTGCAAAGGCGCCGTCTATTTTATAAGGGACTTCGAGGCATCTTAGCATTTCATTGTGATATTCGAGAAACTGGGAGCAACGCGTCTGCTTGAGGTTGTAGCACAGTCCACCCTCGATTGTTGATGGGTTTGGGATGTTGAGAGTGTAACCGTAACCTGTACTGCGCACCGTGGCAGACGAAGCTGGAAGCCCCTACAGCAGAGCATCTTTTTTCGGCCCTCCGCTTAGCTGTGACATCAGATGTTCAATCGCTGCAAGGTTTGACTGGACCGATAAAGACAAGAACTGGCAGGCTCAGGGAGGGCTCTTGCACTTTCAACTTGGTTCCGTGCTCGGGCATTGGGTTTGTTCTTCGGCTTGCGTTTCCCAGAAGAGTGGCAAAGTTGCTACCTTGTGCCACAACAATGTGCTTCAAGGCTGCGGCTCGCAATCGCTCCTGCGCCAAGTTCCATCGGCACCACAACTCCTGTTGAGCTTGCGGCAGGAACATCAGTTTCCGACTGTGAAAATCAGCGTTTATCTGCAGCGCAAATACGGGTGACTCGGCAAGGACATTAGAATTGGAGCTTGTTTAAAAACGCTCCTTACCAACTCTCACTTGCCACGTGCATCAGAGAAGTTCGTATTCGTCCAGATATGGTGGTCAGCTGCAGCCGCTTCCTGAACTCGTGTCATGCACATGTGCTCTGCCATAGCATAGTATAGTATAGTCCTAAGCTGAACCCTAAACCCGAAACCGTTCGCTTGAAGGTTTTACCTTTGGAACGTCGTCCTCCCCATGTTCCTGATCGCTTCGATGAGCCTCTGCGTTTCCTTATTGAGAGGTTTTCAGCTTGTCGACGGACCTTCTGCCCGAAGCCACTTCACTCTGCACTTGTGTGCAGAAGCGCAGCACTCGGCAGGTCCTGGCGAACTATATCTCGTCAATCTAGCCTCTTGCTGCCCCTACGGCGTTCAGGAGTGCTTGCTCGATGAGCATCCACATCGACAAAGTCGCTGATCGTCTGAGTGTCCTGGCTTGCAAAGGCAGAGAAGGAGGAGGGCCTCAGTTCTGAGTACATCCCCTAAACCCTGAACCCTGTACCCTAAACCCTAAACCCAAAACCCTAAACCCTAAACCCAAAACCCTAAACCCTGAACCCTAAACCCTGAACCCTAAACCCCTTGCAAGTCGCAAGCACAGGTGCGACTTTAACTTTGGTCCTCACGGCGGTTGCTTACAAGTACATCACCGCTCAGATGGCATCTCGGAGCACAGATCTTGAAGTGTTCAACCCTAAACCCTATAAACCCTAAAGCCTAAGTTCATGGTTTGGGTGCAGGAGCCAGAAGCACATCCTAAACCCTACACGCGCAAGCTTTGCACGCTTTTTCAGGTTCCAACCATCGGCTACAACACCTGGCGGCTTGGCATCATGGGGGTTCTGCGGTTCCTGGGTCTTGCATGGTATTTCGACACCGAATGACTACAGCCTGCGCCTTTCGGCCTGTGCGCTTTCATATGCTTCAACACTGCACGTTCCGTTTGGGCTTGTCTTATCGCGAAGCTAGCAGCAACTCCCTCAGCATGGTGCTGGTGAAAACTCGTTTGGCATTGTTCGTGTCCACTGTGAGCTGTTGGGATGTGGGTGTACATCGAGGCGTTTTCATGTTTGCCGGTTCTTCACATCTCTGTCCTAGCATTGCCCATGCGCCGCCTTGTGACTCAAACGATGTCTTTTCTCTCCGCAAATCATTTCAGCAGGTCGGATGTCAGTGTGTTCGAGCCAGGTTGGACAAGTACGTGCTGGCATGCTTCTGGTTCCTTGCTCCTTGGATACATGACGACCGGGCATCTTCAAACCAAGAGAGGAGAGCGCCCTTCTTAGGTCCCTAAACCCTAAACCCTAAACCCTTCACGCTCTTGTTCTTAGGTCTCAGGATGTCTCAGGCTGCCAACTCCAGTTTTCCACGGTGCACAGTGCCCAGGTAATCATCGTCTTGGAGAACTGCGTTGCTGGACGGTTCGACGAACAGACCGAGTCTTTATGGTTCATGTACGGTGCTCAGACACGCCAGGCGCAGTTCTTAGTCGTAGCACGCCTTTGGGGCTCGTGTATTTCGGGCACAGGATGAAGTGTTGAGGGTTGGTCTACCTGGAAAGCTTCACAGTACCATGCATCCGGATCATTGATACAGCATGATTTTCTGTGATGTCATGCAGTTTGATGAATCAAGGAGTGCCTCTGCCGCCCCTAGCTCTTGCGGGGACTACGGGGGGATTAAGCGGATTAGTGCTGGGGTTGATTCGGGAAGTTGCCTTCAGGGATACGCCCCTTGCTGTGCCGAGCTCCGAAGCCTGCCCTTTCGCTCCTCTTCTTGAGCCCTCCGGCCCCGCCATCCATTGGCCTTCCCTCGCTCTGGGTGTCCTGCTTGGAATCCTCATAGGGCCAGCCCTTGACTTGGCTTTCCTTTTGAGGCTTGCACTGCTTCGGGCCGCCAGGAGTAGGTTGGGCGGTTTTAGTGGGTGGTTTTGGGTGTTGGATGGGTGAGGCCGAGGTCCTAAGGCTGCGTGCAGAAGTGGCTGAGCTCAGAGTGCTCCTGCAATCTTTGACTGCGCGAGTCCAGGCCTTAGAAAACTCCGAGGATTTCGAGGTGGTTGCACCACCCCTTGCTTCACCTGAAAGGCGAGAGTTGGCTACCGGCAGCACCGAAGCCGGATACCCGCGGCTCGCTTCCCCAGCTGATTTGAGTGCAGGACGCGATCCGCAGCGAGTTGCTGTGGCACGAGAGGTCGGGGCTTTCCTGAGAAGGGCCCTCAACGGCGAGCATCGGGGAACGTCTGGGCGAGACAAGATCTCTTTGGCCTCAAAGTTCTATATCGTGATTGCCCCTTACAGCGGCGAAGTGTTCTCTAAGGTCCGAGTGTACTCAAAGTTTGCTCCGGTCAAGGCCCTGTGCAAGCGAGGTCCCGACCCAGGCAGGTCAGTTTTCGTTGGGCTCCCTTCCCAGTGGGAAGTGAGTGTGGCACTCCAAGCCGCCGGGCTCCCTTGGCCAGACGGTGGAATAGATGCCGAGTGAAGGGGATAGTGAAGCCAGTGAGGTTGAAGAAGGAGGAGAATCTGCTGGGGGTGTGGATCTGCGGCAGCATCTATTGGCGAGCTCTACCGAAAGAGCTCTGGACTACCGGGTGGCAGCGTTCAGTAAGGAAGCTGACGGGGGAGTGATCAGCTGCTCGGTCATCCCTGTCGCTGAGCGCGAGGGCTCGTTGCTTGTGGCCGTGCCTCATAACGCATGGCACCGCGTGGCGGCCCGCCGCTACTTACCGAGGCAGTGTTTGCAAAGGGCGGTTCACACAGAAGTGTTAGCTGCAGACCCGAGCGACCGCAGCAAGGCCCATGCGCACTTCAAGGTCCGGCTTTGGATCTGGCTGCTGGCGGCCGAGGAAGAGCAGTTCTTGGTTTTCAGAGGCGAAGACGAGCCGGCAGAGCGATGCTTTGTGATCACGGGGACGGAGAGGCACATCTTTCCGTACGGCCCGTCCTTGACTACTGCGGTCCGCGACCTGTTTGCCTTCGTTTCGCTCCCCGTCCCGACGGGGGAACCCGAGGAAGGCCTGTCGGGCAAGGTGAGAGACATCGAAGCAGCCGCTCTGGGGCTGCAAGGAGGCCTGGATGCCATCAGGGCAAAGCTGGAGAGTGGGCAGAAGGTTACCGCTGCGAGCAAGGCGGGAGCGAAGCCGACAGCTCACGCTTCTACGCCGCGCCCAAGAGGCGCCCATATCCCTGGCCTGGACCCAGCAGTACTCGCTGCCGGCCGGGCCGCTGGTGTCCCGGAGGACCAGCTGGAGAGGATGGGCGAGCTAGCAAGGCAGCCGGGGCGCCTGGGCGATGGAGCTCGGGCGGCCGCTTCACCTTTGTCGGAGTCAGAGGGCGAGGAGGACGAGCCGGAGAAGGACGCAGAAGCTCCGGAGGACGTGAGTGCGGCGATTTGCAAGATGACCCAGATTCTGGATCGGCTCGCCAAGTCGCGGAAAGGCGGCAGCTTGGAGGATCTCCTGAACAGGGGGGACGGAGCCGAGGGAGCTTCGGGCAGCGCTGGGGGAACGTCGAAGGCGGCGGCCTACGTGCACAGGCTGAAGGAGCGGGAGTCGTATCAGGAAGCCCGCCGAAAGCTGGCGGGTCCCCGCGGAGGAGGAGGTCAGCAGGACAGCGAGAGAGGGGATCGGGGCGAGAAGCCCAGCAAAGGCAAGGGGAAAGGCGAGGCGCCGAAGTGAAGGCTGCCTGCCCGGCCCGTGCGTGTGTGAGTGGACGAGGAGAAGAGAATTCAGGAGAGCAGGTGCCCCGTCATCTTCCCGGCGCAGCTGCTACTCCCGTTGCAAGCTCAGAGGTGTGGAGTTCTTTCTTTTCTGTGCTAGGGCGGGCTAAGACCCCCTTGGCAAACTTTTGGCATTCCCTCCGAAGTGCCCCACCTGGCAAACTGCCAGGGCAACGAGGGCGACTGTGGCCTATGCCGGTGCCCTACCCCGACCTCCATCTTCGTGGAGGCCAGCGCAGCCGGAGCGACGTACCGCGAAAGCTTGCGCTCAATGCAACAATCTTAGTTTTGTCGTGGCTCTATCTGGGCCAGCCAGCGACTCCCCGTCGGTCCGATGCCCTGGGTCTTGGAACTCCGCTCAGCTCAGAGCAGTGGGCAGTGGTGGAGACTTTGGGGCGGGGCGTGGATGCTTGGAATGCACAGCCGCTGATAGGGCCAGAGGCCATGGGGAGGAACGCTGCAAAGGTGGAGAGTTGTGAGGAGATACTTCGAGCTCTTGAGGAGCGGGGAGACTCACCTTCGCCGTCCGAGGGTTCGACTGCTGCAGCTAAGTTTTTGCCAGCTCGTGTTTGTGGGACTTTGAACCTGGAGCCGGCTAGCTTGGCGCAGAGCATTGTGCCGGAACGCCTCAGGTTCTTTGAAGAGCCGAGCTTTGATCCAAGGCCCTTCATGAGCAGTCAGAGTCGTGCTGTTTATCAGAGGCCTCTGGATTTTGCGCGGCCCATTCCTGAGGAGGAGGCAGTCCCGAGGACGCAAGTGAGGTGCTCGCGAGACGCTGCGCTGCGGCTGCTGGAAGTCTTGGACGGATGCGGAAGACTCGCTCTGCGGCCGATCGGTGCCGTCAGGGATCGAGTCCTGAACGGTCTTTTCGCTATACCGAAAGATCTTCAGCGTGATCGCATGATATTGGATGCAAGAGCACCCAACCAAGCCGAAGCAGTGACTCAGCCGTGGCTTCGTTCGATGGCATCCCTAGAGCAATTGCAATGGCTGGAGCTGAAAGGCGACGAGGAAATGCGGGTAAGCGCCGAAGATCTGAAAGAATTTTACCATTGCTTTCAGGTCGAAGAGCAGCGAATCTGCAGAAACGGTCTTGCGCTGAAGTTCCGGCCGTGGGAGCTAAAACACCTGGGATGCTACACGAGCGACCTGGAGGCGTGCGACTACGTGCGGCCATGCCTCAAGACCCTTGCGATGGGGGACTGTTGTGCAGTCGGCTTTGGCCAGGAAAGTCATTTGGGCGTCTTGCTGCAAGCCGGGGCTTTACGAGTGGAGCAGCTGGTTACTTTGACCGGGAGGCCCCCGCGAGATGGCCTCGTCGGTGGCTTACTCATTGACGACCTGGCGGTCCTGGAGAAGGTGAAGAAGGGCAGCAGCGAAGCCGAGCACAAGGCCCCGGCGGTCATGAAGGCCGTTCACGGCGCTTACGAAAGTGCCCGGATGCCGCGCAATCAAGCGAAGTCCGTCGCTAGCGCTAGCACCGCAGAGTGCGCCTTCGACGGGATCGAGGGCACTATCAGGCCGGCCCCGAGACGCACTGTGCCGTTGTCGAGTCTTCTGCTGAGGGCGGTGCACGGAGGGTTTGTGACGCCCGAACTTCTGGAGGTGTTTGCTGGATCGCTGGTATCAATTTTTCAGTGCAGGCGCCGATTGATGTCGGTTCTGGAGAAGATCTATTCGGAGCCTCTGGGTGTGCCTCCTAGGACGGTCATGCAGATGAGTGCTGAGCTGAAGGATGAGCTCTTGGTCTCAGCAGTCTTAGTTTCTCAGGCCTGCATAGACTTCAGAACGCCGGGAGCGCCGGTGATCGTAGCGAGCGACGCCTCGTCGAGGGCCGAGGCCGCGGTCTTTGCCCCAGTGAGCCGAGAAGCTTCGGCTGAGTTCTGCCGGCACGGGCTTCAGTTAAAGGTCTGTGGTCAAAGCTGCTAAAGCCCGTAGATGCACTCCTCCGAGAGCGGGGTGATTTGGCTGAAGACCTCCAACTTCCCAGCGGTGTCTACAGCTCTCACCCTTGCTGGGAAACGTTGAGCAAGTGTTTGCCGTTCAAGCAGCTAGGTAGGACGAAGTTCCCAGGCAAGCGCCGCCACATCAATGTGGGCGAACTGCGAGCCGCCCTGTCTGCCGAGTCGTTGGTGGGCCGAAGGTGGCCTTCGTGCCGCTACATGCACCTCCAGGATTCTCAGGTGTCTCTTGCCTGCCTCATAAAAGGCCGCAGCAGCTCTAGGGCACTGAACGTTGAGCTCAGGAAGTCTTTGGGGGATTTTTTGGGGTTTAACGTTAGGCCCTCGTATGGGTTCCTTAAGACCCACCTGAACCCTGCAGATGACCCTACGCGAAGCAAGGCAGTCCGGTCACTGCGTGAGGCGCCCTCCATGTGGATGCGAAAGCTGCTGGAAGGAGAGTTTGAGGACTTCGACCGGTTCCTCGCTCAGAATGGCGTGCACCTCGACCAGCTACGTGAAGTGCCGGAGAGTTCAGAGCTGATGCCGGATGCCCCTCTCCCCGAGTTTGCTGTCGTCAGGCGCCCTCCGGTAGCGAGCCCGCTGCCAGCTGAAAAGTTTGCTTCTCGCCTGCTGGAATCCGCTGGAAGCCAGTGCCGTCTTCAAGCAGGATCTGGTCCGGCTCTTAAAGCTTCTTCCGCCGCAGCCCACGCCGAGAGGGCAGCCCAGGCCGGGAACCAAGTGTTTCCAGAGCGGATTGTTCGTGCATGGTGGGATCGTTGGTTTTCGCAGCGCAACAATGGAGTTTCCGCGGAGCACTAGAGTTCTTTGCCAGTTTGTTCATGACAAGCAGCTTGAACTTCGCTTTTCGAGTGTGGGGCTCTTCCGAAACATGCTGGCTGATTGCCATGTAGACGCGCATAACTCTCCTGAGGAACCTAACTTTATCCACGGGTTAAGCAAGTTTCGAGGGGGAGGGTTGTGGGTCGCCGGAGAGACGGGAGCCGTGTTGCGGCGGTACAAAGGAAGAGACGTGCCGGGGCATGTAAAAGACATTCGAGGGGAGCCGGTCCTGTTTAATCCTCATTTGCCTCATGCTACCGAAGAATGGGCCGGGAGCCGATACGTGGTCGTTGCCTACTGTGTCAGAGGGCTGGAGAAGCTCAGTGCAGAGCAGCGGGCGGCGGCCAGGGAATTCGGATTCAAGCTCCCTGACCCGGTGCAGGAGCGCTTTGCCGAGGGAGCCGAACCTGACCAACGGGATTCTGCGATCGCCGAGTCGGGGGAGGAAAGGCTGCGAGGGTTCGAAGTCCCCACAGGTCGCCCGCTCGAGGCAGGTGGCACGGGGAGAGCCGAACTCGACTCCCGGCGTTCTCCCAGTGCACTCAGGTCTCCAGGCGCCGGTCAGGCGAGGCAGCGAGCTAAGGGAAAGCCGAGCTCGACTTCCGGCGTTCTCCCGTAGGTCTTCTCAAGCCGCAGGTGCACTCAGGTCTCAAGGCGCCACAGGCCAGGTCAGGTGAGGCAGCGAGCCAAGGGAAAGCCGAGCTCGACTTCCGGCGTTCTCCCGTAGGTCTTCTCAAGCCGCAGGTGCACTCAGGTCCCAAGGCGCCACAGGTCAGGTCAGGAGAGGCAGCAGGCCGAGGGAAAGCTGAGCTCGACTTCCAGCGTTCTCCCGTAGGTCTTCTCAAGTCGCAGGTGCACTCAGGTCCCGCAGTAAACGAGCCGCAGGTGAGAGGTCAGTGCCAGTCCGCTTTAGAGCCGCAGGTGAGAGGTCAGTGCCAGCCGTTGTCAGAGCAGCAGGTGAGAGGTCAGGAGGCGTCAGGTGTCAGGTTGCAGCCGAGTGTCGTGGGGAGCGCCGTGCTCGACTTCCGGGCTCCTCACGAACAGGTGTCGGGAGAGACGGAGAAACCCTTGTTTGAAGTCACGTCAGGTGAAGTTGCCCCCTCAGTCGCAGGCCAAAGGGGGTGTGGTGTGCTCGACTTCCGCCCACCTCCGGGCCTTTCTCCTGCCGAGGCAACTCGGCCTGGCCTACGACATTTCTCCCCTGGCCAGTTCGTTTTCTCTTCCTCGTTTGCTTCGCTCGGTGATGCGCTTGCGAGAGGGCAGGGCTGGGTTGACTTGTTTTCGGGGAGTAGAGGGCTTGCTAAAGCGCTAGTTGCAGCCGCGCCATGGTGGGTTCTCTGCTTTGACTGGAGGCATGATGCTGAAGAAGATTTGAGGAGCTGAACTTTGAGAAGCGAGATAAAGGAGCTCCTCGAGTCGGGGCAAGTCAGGGGTTTTTCAGCTGACCCTCCCGCAGGGTCCTTCTCTACAGCGTTGATCCCAGCTTGGCGTTCAAAGGAGTGGCCGGAAGGATTGCCGGGACTGGAAAGCGAGAAGGCGAAGAAAGTCGGGGTTGAGAATGAGTTGTCGAGCTTTTGCAGCGAGCTGACTGACATTTGTGAGCGCAAGGGCTTGAGCTACATCGTCGCGAACCCCGAGAAGTCGCGCATGTGGCGAATGCCGGAGTGAAGAGAGAAGAGCGCAACAGAGCGGTGCTTCATAGTAGACTTCTGCAGATTCGGGACGAGCTGGAAGAAGGCTACCCGGATAGTTGCGAGCGGGCAGCTGGCGGGGCAGAAGATGCTCTGTGCACATGGCAGGGCTCATGCTCGGTTGAGGGGAAGGTGCCCGAGGAACGGGATAACTTGGACCTTGCTGGCCGAGGCCTTCCCTAAGAGGCTGTGCGCCTTGCTTGCCAACGCCGTTGCTCAGGATGAAGGCTACTACGATGGGTTTCGGAAACTGGACATCGGCCGCTGTGCGAAAGTGGGCGGGCTGCGAGTTGGCGAGGCGGCTAACCCCGGACCTCGCCAATCGCAGCCGCGCACGCCCGCATGCCTGAGCGAGGTCGAGCTGGTGGAGCCTAAGACTGCAGCTGTCAGGGACAAGCATTGGAGAGCTTTTCTGCAAGACTTGGGAAGTGGGCTAGGCGACGAGGGAGTGACGTCGGTCATGGAGGTGCCGTCGTTACTCGTTACCATGCTTTGCTCCTATGCCCAGGTGATGTACGACGCTGGAACTCCACTGCGTTACTACCGGCAGCTGCTTGCTCACGCCCAGAGAGTCTGCCCAACTGTAAAGCCTTTAATGCGACCGGCTTGGGACTACGTCACAAAGTGGGAGCGGTTGGAGCCTCTCCAGCACCGGCCGCCGGTACCAGTGAGGTTGGTCAGAGCAATGGCAGCAGTGGGGTTGTCATGGGGGTGGACGAGATGGGCTGCAATTACCCTGTTGTGCTTCTATTCGATAACGAGGATTGGAGAAGTCCTCTCTGCGACTCGCAAAGACTTGCTGACAAGAGAGGACGCCATGGAGCCGGAGGGAGGCCTTTTTCTGCTAATACGGAAGCCGAAGACGAGGAATAGAGTATTGAATAGAGGAGCTCGGGTCCAGCATGCGCAAGCTGTGGGACCCGAAGAAGTACTGAGTTTCCTGGAGAGGACCTTTCAGAACTTGCCGTTCTCCCAGAAGCTTTATGGAGGGTCGCCGAGCGTCTACCGACGACGCTGGGATGCTGTGCTCCGACAGTTGGGGATACCGACACACCTTCGACTGACGCCTGGATCCCTTCGGGGAGGAGGGGCGGTGTATGCCCATAAAGCAGGAACAGCTATCGGCGACCTCCAATGGCGTATGAGGGTAAGTCACCAGAATACTTTGGGGCACTATCTTCAGGAAACTACTGCTGCTTCAGTTCTACCGTCCTTGAGTCTGGAGGCGAGGCGAAACGTGTTGGCGGCAGAGGCTTTCCTCCACTTCCTACTGGAATCTCCGTAGCCAGCGCATCTGCAAAGCCGAGACGGCTGTTACTCTGCTGATGGCCGGCAGTTGTGGCGGAGTGGAGTACAGGCCCATGTAAA